TCAGGAAACCCGCAGGTGGCTCCTTCTTCTGTGAGATGTTCCTCATGGATGAGCATTCTCTGCATTGCAAGAGCCAGGATAAAACCATATCCTTTACTTAAAAAATGGCGCAGTCGCTTTGGAAGAGCCTTTGGTTCCAGCTTACGAAGGCAGCAGATCCCCTGCAAGGTGTGGCTCCCAGAGAAGTGTAAACATAATCCCAGTAGAGTGGGGCCCTGACTGGTCACAGCAGCTGTGTTTGGGAATGACCCAAGAGAAGGGACGAACAAAATGTAGCCACACTGTGGAATCCGACCCCCCACGAATGTCAGCCGGACACAAGGGCCACCCTGGGGCATCCCGTGTATACACAGAGGCGTGGAAAATGCAGAGTGATGTCTAGTGAGTAACACACCTGGCTGCTTCTGTCCGTGGAGCATGTGACACTTCATCTGAGGGATCGTGAGTTTGCGCCCCATGTTGGGCGCAGAGATGATTAATCAATAAATTTCAAAAATTTTAAGTCTGCAAATTGAAGGACAATGAGGAAACATTTGGAGGTAGTTAGTATTCCATACTCAATTATTGACTTAAAGGTATCACTTTTCTTTACTTCTTTGTATATTCTGTTTATTGTTTATAGTTCACTAGTGATGATACGTCATGTTTCTGCAAATGTACAAGTGGTCGAAAACACAAACGTTATTAATTCTACGTTTTTTTTGTTTTTTGTTTTTGTTTTATAAGACCAGGTACAGGGGCGCGTGGGTGGCTCAGTCGGCCAAGCGTCCGACTCTGGATTTTGGCTCAGGTCATGGTGTCACAGTTTGTGAGTTCGAGGCCCGAAGGGGCTCTGTGCTGACGGTGTGGGGAACCTGCTTGGGATTCTCGCTCTCTCCCTCCCTCTCTGCCGCTCCCGTGCATTCTCTCTCTCTCTCTCTCAAAACAAAAAACAAAAAACGGTCTGAAACAGGACCCAAACCGACGAACTGTGAGGTCATGGCCTGAGCCGAAATCCAAAGCCGGACGCTTAAGCAAGTGACCGCTC